CAGCACGTGAGATCTTAGACCAGTTCTTTGCATCCAGGGCCTTGTGGAGAAAGCACAGCCCTAGCAGTGAAACAATACTGGTGATAACAAACAGCTATTTTCTTAGTACTTGGGCTTCCTTCTGGACCTCACCCATCGCCCCAGAGTTGGCCAACAGTGGGAAGTTTCCACGGTACACAATGCTTTTAGTATTCAAATGGCAGTATCTGCCCTCATGGACTATTTCCAAGCAGAGCCCTTCAGATGCCTACTCATTTTCTTGATGGCCAGGTATTTGCATGGGTTTTACAGCCTTGTGTGCTTAAGACAGTAATGTGATGGGAATGCAACAGAAAAGGAAGGAGATAAAGCCTTGCTGGCTGAGAATGTGCGTGTATACGAGGTGATGGGAAGAATGATGTGGGCACACACGTTGTGCCAGCTCTTCTCTTTACCTTCGTGGTTGTGCTCTGAGCAGATCCTGTCCCTGATCCATCCCGTCACAGCGGGGAGATAGGCAGGAGGGTGGAAATGGCATGGCTGAGCAGCAGAGGGGTGGTGGAAGGACCAGTTAGCAGAAGGCACGGCAGGCAAGAGGCAATTCCTGGGCAAATCTGTTTTCCATTTAAAACAGATGAGCCCAGGCTTTGGGATAAAGGGGAAAAGGCTTCCCCCTCTCCCGAAATACAAGGATGAGAGGGACAGGAAGATTTGTTGACAGGGTGTAATTCTACAGCATAAGAAGGGATAGTTTCTAAATATGAGAGAGAACCAGTTCAAACTGGTTTAACAGAAACTTCGTGCACCAAAAAACCTCCAGCAAGGACATTAGAATAAGTGTTGTATCCTCAGCAGCAGCTCCCGCCTGCTCAGCTCTGGGGCCACACCGTCCATGGTCCATGCAATGACCCCACAGCTCCCCAAAGCATCTGCCTCTGTTGCTGGGCCTCCTCAAGCGTGTCACAAATGCCCCTTCATCCTCTGATACAGATTTGCAGCTGCCACCAAGGCAGAGAAAAGGGTTGTGTGGCAAAGCTTGGCAGGCATGGCTACCAGCTTCCAAATTTGATGACACCCTACAAAAGGACTGTTTTGGGTTGCTTTGGTTTTAATGAAGGCTCTTCTGCCTGAAGCCCTCTGATTACACACACACAAAAATCTCTTATTTCTGTCAAAACATCGTGTGTGTGCTGGGGAGAGGAGTAGAATTCAGCCAAAAAAATCTGGGAAACTGATCCAAATGGATAAAAACAAGAGGGAGAAGCACCCACATACATGTTTTTAAAAGTCTCACTCGCAGGTCTTTGCTGCTGGACTGGTGACCCCAAATATATATATAACACACATCAAACGGAGGGGAAGCAGACCCGGGGCACAGAGGTCCCACAAGAGGTTTGGGAGACCTGACATCAATTCTCTGGTCTTCTGAAGGTGGTACCAGCTCTTCTCTGCCCTGGAGATGGATCAAGAGACTGGAGCAAGTTCAGATATGGTAACGGACAGGGAGGAAGGGAACAGGACCTTGCATCTTATGGGGCTCAGAGGGGTGTGGGGCATCTCACCGTCTTATCACCCATCTCCAGCAGCAGGCAAAGTCCCTGCTGGTTCCAAGGCAACAACAGCTGGTGGGATGTAAAGATATTGCTGCCTCCTCCTGGGGACACCTCAAGGAGGCTGGCAAACCACACCGGGCAACTTCTCTGGCTGGACAACCCCCTAATAAATAAGAAAATGCAGCAGTCAGTGCAGGAGGCGGGCAGCAGAGCTCGGTGGGAGGGAAGGGCTCCCACCATGTCTAGGTGAGAGGGATGTTAAGAATTTAAAGCAGAGTTTCTGGCCAGGGGAGTCTCAGCAGCTCACATTCCTGGGCCAACGCTTCGCTTCGACCGGTGTCACAAATATGTTTTTAACAATCCTGAAGCAGCCGGCGTGTGGGCCAGGTGTGTCAGGGCAGGGAACAAAGACACAGACGCTTTGTCTGCACAGTGAGACCTGTGGAAATTTTCCCCTCTTCTCTCCGGAGCGCCTGGCTGGCTCCAGCGGGGCTCCCAGCCTCAGCTGCTCGCTATCATCCTGTATGTCCTCTCATGTAGGCTGGCTCTGGGCAACTTAGAGAAGATGGTAATTAAACGTTGGGTCTGGCCTCGGCGAAATCTCCCAGAGCTGTTACAGGAACCGACAGGGAGTTTCAAAACTCCTGACACAGCTGGAGATGAGGACATCTCGGAGAGGCAACCGTTGACTAAGGGCCACAGAAACTCCGTCACGCCTCAGGTGGCACCTTGCCCAGGAAACACTCATTTCCCCATGACACCGGTCAGCCAAGCTTCCCTGCAGAAGGGCTCCTCCGTGCCCTTTTACATGCTGCAGAAGAGATCGGATCTGCTGTAGGTCCTAGAGCTGACTGCATTTCTCGGTGACTACAAGCTGTCACAGGGACATCCAGCTCTGTGCCCGATGACCAAGGGAGAGTACTTCCAATGTCTCTCCGGGGGGGGGGGGGGGGAAAGAAGTGTTTGGGAAGTTTTCAAAAGCTATTTTCCCACACGAGCACTACTTCAGCAAGCAATGTTTGCTCACTACGTTCTGGTCTGGCCATGGCACTTCAGATCTGCATCTGCTCCATTTAGGAGCTCAAAGCACACTTCAGAAGGAGGAAATCTGGTCATTCCTAATGCTTGTGGTAAAAAGGGGAAAACCAACATTCAAGATTTCTCTTTACATTATGCAGAGCTTGCAGACAACACCATTCTTCCCCCCCTCCACACCAGTTTTAGAGCTCTCTTTTTAACCTGAATAAACTTCTTGACCTCAAAGCCTTCCGAATCACATCACTTTGGCTTTTTTATGGGGGACACTATTCCGGCCTGCCACTGGGAAGCCATCCCTTGTCATGCTGGGGTGGCTGCTGTGTTTATCCACAGAGCCATGGTGCCACAGGGAAGCCGGAGACACCCCATATTTAGCTGTGAGCTAGTGCTTCCTGCATCCAGCCCAGCAGCCACATAAAGCCCACCAGGTCCCCCCCAAGCCCACTGGGATGAACTCAGCCAAAAGCTCAGCCAAGGCCTCAGGAAGGTCCTCATGGTCAGAGCAAGGCGAAGGTGAATGGCTTTGCTGGCCCAGAGAGGATGAGGGGCTCGGTGGTCTTCCTTCTGCAGAGGTGGAGACCACCAAGAAGTCAGATTGGACACTTACGAAGAGGTGACAGGTTTCCCTCGGTGGAGCATCACAGTGGGCAGCAGCTCCCGGGGCTTTGTCAGAGCCTGGCTCTGTAAGCTGAGCAAACACCCCCCTCAAAAACACCAACCTCAGTGAGGAAGACATCATCTGCACCCGCTGCAAGGACAAGGGGCCAGCTCCAGACCCCCAGGACCATCCTGCACCACAGAGCAGCTGCACTGGAGTGTTGGGCTGAGGAGCTGGGGAGCTCCAAGCCAGGAAGAGCAGCTCTGCCCCCAAACGACCAGCAACTGCACCTAATTGCTTGTTTCTGGCCACAGCTGGGGGAAGAGCAAGGATTTGTCACCTTCAGGCACAGCTGAAACACAGGTGAAACAAAGAAGCTCAGTTTTCACCGAAAGATGCGTTTCTTAACCAGATGATAGCAAGGCAGTTTTCAGTTCTTTTTGGGGGGGAAGGAGACTTGAATTTTGCAGAAAGTTTCAACATCTGGGCTCCCATTCCTGTCTGAAAAACAAACCCCTTTTAAAGAGCTGGGATTTCCCAGCGAGTGGACACCCTTGTGCCTCGCAGCACGGAGGGGTGGGATGTCCACCCTGGGGGGTGGCAGAGGTGCAGGGCCTTTCCCCAGCCACCCCACACGGGACCTGCTGGTGCAGCCCGAGTGACCCCACACGGTAAAACCCGGGGAATGCAGATGCCTGGTGTGCATGGTTGCAGGCGTGGGCGTGCAGAATGGCATGGCACAGCATGGCACAGCATCACTGCCTGGGGCACAGCATCACAGCATCACTGCCTGGGGCTGGCCCCGCTGCCAGCTGCGCTCCTGAGCTCCCCCGGGTCCCACCATACCGAGATGGTGGCCCTGCTCACGGTCCCCACACCCCAGAACAGCAAGTCCCCTTGCCACAGAGGGTGCCAAGTGGGAGCCAGGTCTGGCTTTTGGGGCAGAAAGTGGTCTGCAAGCTGCAAAGCAAAGGGGAGGGCTCTGGCTGGACCTGCAGACCTCACCAGGGCCGTGGTGACCGTGGTGTCTCCACCAGGAGAGGCAAAGATGTGAAAGAGGCTGGAATACACGTAGCCTTCTCTCCTTGGAGACTCTCAAGAGATGCTGCTTTGGTTTCAAACAGGGTCCCCCCTGCACCCTGCTGGGACTGGTGACCCCACCGGCTGAGCAGAGACCATCTCCTGGGGCTGGGGACACAAGGGGTAACGTAGACACAAGCAAGCGGGTCGGGAGAGCTGGTGTAGGTCAGGAGTGGAGGAAGAGAGAGGTGGCAGTGGGAGAGCAAAGCCCACAGTGCAGAGCAGAGGGCAGGGGGAAAAGCCTTCAAAGCCCCAGCGCCGCCAGGTCAGTGAGGCAGGGGCAGGTTCTCCTGGTTCCCATACGTATTCATTGCCAATTAGCCAAATTTACATTTAGCTAACTTTACATTACAGTGCCTGAGCGGATCACCAGCCTGGAGACACAGCTAGAGCAACTCCTGTTTGAAGAATAGTGTCTGCTTTTGGTTTCAGACCCAAACCCCAAACCAGTCTGACCAGCTGGAACCCAGTTTCAGGTTACACCCTGCCTTGCTCTCTGGGTGACTGAGCGGGTGATGATCTCACTCCCACCACACCTGATGCCGTGGTTGTCTCTCCAGGTGTCCACACAGGCTGCATCCCCCTTCCCAACCCTCCCCAAGCCTTGGGACCACCACTGCTGCTGCAGCAAGACCTGATGGCTCTCCCCTGAGCCCTGAAGTCTGGGCAGATGAAAGGGTGGGAGATACCAAGGCATGGGAACGGTACCTACCACCTCTGTGGGTCGTTGTTTCTCAGACACCACTCCCAAGTCAGATAAAACAAACAATTCCTTTTTATTGCAACTCCTATTATCGGGGTGAGCGCACAGAAAAAAATAAAATAAAAATAATCAAGATGTTAGGTTTATTGTCTAGGCCGTGATGGGCTGTGGGAAAAACAAAGAGATGGAAGAAATGATACAAGACAGATCACGAAAAGCCGTGGAGGAATCTGACCAGCCCCAGGGAGACTGAGGCAGATGTGGTGATGGGGAGAAGCGTGCAGTCAGATTGCCAGCAGGCTGTGGGCAGTGGCTTCTTCCCTTCCAGCCCAGGCATCGGCCCAGGGTGGCAGCTCTCCTGGAGCTGCACTTTGAGAGGACCTGAGCCACGCCATGAGCTGGGCATGGCTTCACCAGAGCCTTCCAGAGCCACTCTGCCCTCAGCCCTGAAAGGGTCCAAGCGTATAAACTAAAATCTGTACATAGATTTATGCTCCTTACACACAGGCACACATGCAAACACACACACACACTGATTTCCTTTCTCTTCACAGCAGGAGTTTTCCAAGAGCAGCAGGCACTTCCAGTTTGGGGATTGTCGCCAACCCCACAGACGACAAAACGTACCAGGCACTTCAGAAATAGCAGCTTCTGCCCCCAGAAGAAGTCCTCAGCTCCCAGAGGGTACAAGCCTGGACAACAGATGTGGGGCAGTACAGAACTGGGGAGCACCTCACTCTGAACAGTCTACAGGGGAACACACGGGACCTTGCCGAATGTCACCCCCCGCCATGGGGCAAGGGATGAGCTTTGGACCTCCTGGGGCTGGGCTCATCTTGCAGTCAGAAGGATGGACCAGCAGGAGCAGAGATGCCCAGGGACATAAGCTGGTGGTATCCAGCCCACTCCCATGCTCTGGGAGATGCTGGGGACTCGGGTCAGGCTGCATGCTCAGAGGAGAGCGCAGTAAAATCAAAGCTGCGGCAAAGGTCCCACTGAGAGGGAGCTGAGTCCTTCCACCTTCCCCTCACCACCAGCAGGAAAAGTAGGGACATTTCCTTTTCTTTCACGCGGGGAATAAATAGATATTTTCTCAATGCATTTGGGTTCAACCAACCAGGAAAAGTAACCAGGGCAACTCGGACAGAAAATGGTGGACACGTACTGTACATGGGAGGCTGTAAGGTGGCAGCCAGGCAGAAAAAAAATAAAAAAATCTAGGTGTGCTTTTCTGGTAAAAAGCAAAGCCTAGTGATTAAAGCAGGCATTTCTGTTTCCTTCCATCTCGAAAACAGGAACCACTGGAGAGTGTCACAGAGCCCTTGGAACAGGTCTGGACGGTTGTGTGAATCTCAGGACTGCTGGGAGGCAGGGCCACCTTGCAGAGGACTGGGGGAAAGGGAGGAAAATACGAGGTTGGGTGGAAGAAAGTGGCACTGCAAACAAAAAAATTGCTGGCTCTGGTGAGCTTTCACCATTCACCAACGTGAAGGCTACACAGATCCAGTCCCGGGGTCCTTCAGTAAGTTGAGCGGAGTTGTGCTCCAGGTTTGAGCAGGAAGAAATATGTAATTCAGAGTTTCACTGGACTGTTTGAAGTTAGGAAGGGATAGACATCAGAGAGCATCAAAACGCTCCCAGATCCTCACTTTCTCAGAGCAGCCATTTAGCCAAGACAATCACAAACACTAGTAATGCCAAATCATGGCTAGATCTTGGCCTGATGCTACAAATGTCTTCAAAGAGAATGGGTCCTTCAGGCACAGGCCTGTGTCTGAAAACAGAACTCCAGAAGCTTTGGGGAATGCCCCAGTGCTGGGCTGGAGAGAGAGAGAGGCTGTGGGTCAGACAGGTTTGGTGGCACTGCTGTAGAACAGATGCTCAGTGTCCTCTGTGGTGGAGAGGGTTGAGTTGGTAGCGGTGGGCGGCTGGCGGCGGCGGCTGTTCTTCTTCCTGTTCTTCAGGAAGAAGTAGCCGATGATTGCCAGGACCACCATGATGCAGATCCCGAGGAGCACGGCAATCACCACCTCAAAGGCACCTGCGGGGGGTACATGGACAGGTTGGAAGGGCAGCTCCAGGAGCTCTGGTGCAGCAGGAGCAGTCAGGAAGAAGCAAGCACAAAAGTCACTGCAGAAGCTGTGCTGGCAAAGGAAAGAGGTGGGCAATAGCTGGCCTGACAGCGGGGTGGTCATTGCACAACCGGGCAAAGAAGAAAGGAGGCAACCAGGCGGCATAAGGGAATGGCCAGGGTATAACCAGCCCGTCTCTCCCTAATTATGGTTCTCATCATTTCCCAGATGCACCACGCCCTCTAAAGGCTATTCGGTGACTTCGGCAGGGAGTTTGACACTCCCATGAATATCACAGAATCACAGAATCTTCTAGGTTGGAAGGGACCTCAAAGATCATCTTGTCCAACCGTCAACCTAACTGACAAAAATAGACACCCACACAACAAACAAGGAGCATCATCACTAAACCATACCTCCCAGCACTACATCAACCCGTCTTTTGAACACCTCCAGGGATGGTGCCTCAACCACCTCCCTGGGCAGCCCATTCCAATGTCTGAGAACCCTTTCAGTGAAAAAATTTTTCCTAATATCCAGCCTGAACCTACCCTGGCGTAACTTGAGGCCATTTCCTCTTGTCCTGTCGCCTATCCAGCCCTTCTGCAAGGCTGGCCTTCCTTCATCTATGTCAAAAGGGAGGCCACCAAGGGGTGGTCGCAGAGAGCACCTCCCGGTTGGGATAACGCTGTCGGAGTGAGCTATGGTGGACAGGCTGAGGTTGTGGGGAGAGAGCTCTCAGCAGTGCTGAGAGCACTTGGTCTTCCTCAGCCAACCAAATTCCTGCATCACCAGTGGAGACAGTCAAACATGACGCATTTGAGGGCTGGTGTGAATTTGAAGATTAAATCGATCTCTATGGTTGAAGAACAGAAGTATAAAATTGCAGTTCTCTGCTGAAGAAAGAAGCCATACAGCTCTGTGGTGAAAGGACACTAACCTTAATGTGATATTCTTTTAAGAACCTGTAATTCAATAGCATCAATGTTCTTTAGAGTTGTAGAGAGGGTGTATAGAGTCATCATATTTCCCCATGGTCATTATTCATATGCCCACTTGGGCCTTCTTTCTTGCAGAAGTTAGTGGCCCTTATGTGATCTTGGCCCTTAGGAAGAATTTTACATGCCATTTTTTGATGTTGAACAGTGGACCATTCGTGCAAGTCGATGGAAGGAAAATCAGGAGCCTCTGATGTGAGCTACTGATTCAGAGACAAAGGAGAAATTGGACCACAGATGCACAGAAACACCTCGTGCCACTGCTAGCATCCAACAAATCCCACACTGCTCCCTCGGCTTCAAAAGTGGGGTGGGAGAAGGCTATTATTTGCAAGGAAACACAAAGCATTTTTCAGGACAGGGTTAAAAGCAACAAGCAAGATCTGTAGGAAAAACTGTTACTCACTTAACATAGCACTTTGGGACTCAAACAATTCCCATCTCCGGCCAATGGCATCTGCTTCTGAATTGGGAACAGAGAGGGGAGGAAAAAGAATTTACAAAGCAGGTTGGGAACAAGGGATAAGACAGGTTTCTGAGGAGCATATTTGCAGTGCTCTGAAGTCAGGGAAGCATACAGCATCCCTCTGGACTGCCACGGCGCCGAGCGCTCAGGGCAGGCTGCGAGGCACAGTGCAGCTGGGGGTGGCACTGCAGAAAAGCAGCAACACCTCACCTCCCAACAGATAAAGTCTGGCAGAATTCCTCTTGTTTCAGTTGTTGGCCTCTACAGCCCCACGTACAAAGCTCTACAGTGTAAATCTTTCCCTCTTTTTTGCTTAAAACTTCTGCCTAACAGGTGTCATTGAGGATTTTCCTACTTTCTCCCCTCCCACTTGGGGAGAACTGGAGCCAGGCTAGAAAGTTAGATTCTCTTTAGAGAGGCTGCACCGTATCTCTGGTTAGTTTTGTCACCCTCCCCCGTCCCTTTTTCAACATCAGCACCCAAAATGTTTTCCAGCTGTGAGAAATGGCAGGCTGCGTGGCAGAAAGATGCTGGAGATACACACCGTGTATCTGTGAGGCATGGCCAGGGGCTGAGAGCAGAGCTGCTTTGGCTGAAAAGCCCCCAAGCCACTGCCTCTTTGGGACAATCTGGGGCGATTGTCATAGCTGGACAGGTAAAACTCCAGCCCCTCGCCGTGTCTGCTTACTTGTGATGCCTGAACATGATTTCATGCACTCTTCTTCTTTTTCAAAGTTGTTGTTGTTGCCGCCGCAGCCCCCGTAGGTGAAGGGGTCACATTTCTCAGAGAAGGGGTTGTAGTACCAGCGGGGGATGCTCTCAGTGCACTGGCCAGCATCAGGCAATTCCACGCAGTGACCTGGCAAAGCAAGGGAGAGGTACTCTGAGCCCAAGCAGCAACATTTTCTGCTCACGACAGAAGAGGACAAGCACTATGGCAGAGGGAATCCATGGTTCTTGGGTCCCCACCGCCCAGTCGCCAGCTGCTCAAACTGGCATTGCCAAGGGGAGCTGCCACCTGCCCACAAACCCAACCAGCAAGGAGGAAAATGGAACACTGGAGTGTGCAGTAATGCTAGACCTTGGATTCAGTCCCCTGCAGAAATGACTTGTCCTCCTTGGGAGGGAGAAGGGGACACAAAGAGCCTGGACACACAGAAACCATAGTTTGGCTTGGGTCTCCCCTACACTCAAGCTGCATTTAAGCTGACTTGGGATATACAGTTTTAGCCCAGTGCCAGCGCCACCACAAACAAGGCAAAGGTGTGGGATTGAGCACAGGTGTATAATTACTCATATTATGCCTTTGTTGTGTCCCCCACACGGCTTTGGTTTGCACTATTTTCAAAATAAAAGCACTGCAAGGTTTTGTACAGGGCAGGTATGGTGCCCAACAGGCAACAGGCATGAGACCTGCTTGGGTCTCCACAGGAGAGTGAAAGCCTGCTATGAACAGCTGTCCTCAAGGTCATTTTTTAGTACAGGGATTGCCCAGATGCTGCACCCATTTTTGGAACTATACAGGGAAGCATTTTTACCAGGAAGCAACAGACTGAAGATAAAACAAAAGCTGGGAGAAGTCAGCCTGGGTGCTCTAGGCGGTACGTACCTCGGTTATGTGTGACATTGATCTTCTGCAGTCTGTTGAACTCACGAGCATCTGCCAGAGAAACATTTCATGTTAGAACTTCTCTCCCAAGTTGAATACAGAAGAAATGCCTCCGTCCATGCAGGCACGGGCAGGCAGGGCTTTCCTGCACATCCCTTTGCTATCACAAGCCAGGGAAAGGGAGATGTAATTTGAGGTTCTTAAAGATCTCAAAGCTATGAGAGGAACATGGGAAAAATGAAACGTAACAACAAGAAACTAGTCTCAATTTCCATTCCACAAACACGGAGACAAAACTAAGGAAAACAAAGACTGCATTCGTACATGCTTAGGGTTTTTTTTTTTTTCCATCAAAAATTATGGGGAAACTGCTGTGACCCCAGGTTTTAAGAAGTGTGAAAGAGCACTAGTGTAGGATATAAGATAGGGCAAGAGAGATGAATCGTATGCTTGCAACCTAAAAAGGCAGCAAAACACCCACATATAGGAAAGAGATTATGGAAATTTTGTCAGAAGAGGGAAAAAGGGAGGGAAGGAGGAGGGATTACAGACTTGGGCAGTTCTCCACGGTGCATTTATATTAGCATAACATCAGGATGTTAAGAGAACTGTGACACTGGGCAGACTGGGAGAAATCATAGTTTCATTTCCCACCTCCCAGCTGCAGGAGAGCAGGTAACATCATTCAGTGGGAAAATTATTGGAAGGGGAGGGGAGGACAGGCTCTGAAGTCTTACAGACAGGTGCAGAGAAGAGAGTCGAAGAGTATTTAAGAGGCAGGCAACATCTCAGAGGGAAGATCAGCTCTTGCAGTCAGCAGAGATGTGGGAGAAGGCAGAACCTGCAAACACAATACTGCAGAAAGAGGTAATGCAGGGTCAGGTGATGAGAACAGAAGGCACCAAAAAGCATTGAGTCAACACCTGTAACTTACACCACACTCATCTCCGGGCAGACACTAAGTTGTCTAAGCCAGAATTTGGAGGACTTACATTGCTCACAATACATTTCATCTGATCCGTCAGCACAGTCGAGAGTTTCATCACACTCCAGGTAGGCATCAATGCAGCAGCCATCCTTGCATCTGAAGAAGGGGGACTGACAGTTCCCATTGCACACTGCATCAGAAACAGTTCAGGTGACAGAATGAATATTAATGAGCTTTCTCCCTGCCACGCAGGTGCTTTATGAAGGACTTAAAAGCTGCTGATAGGGCTGGCAAACAAGAAACAAGACAGATCGGTTAAGGTCTCTCTTGAGTGCCACCCTGGACTCAAAAAAAAAAAAAAAAAGAAAAAATATCATTTTTTGTTTATAAATGAAACACTGCTCTGGGAACAGCCATGCTTCCTCTCAAAAAAGAAGTACACAGAAGGTAAAAGCAAGAATGAGCTACTGAGGAAGAATCTGGAGACATTGCCCAAGTATGGGGGGTTAAATCTGGGAAGCCAAACTGAAACCTGCACACCAGGATGTGAGAGCCAATGGAAAAAGCAATTATTGCCCCTGCTCCAGAGGTGGACCCCAGTGCTGAGTATTGTGCCCAGTTCTGAGCTACCCAGTGCACAAAAGACACTGGCATACTGGAGTGAATCCAGCAGAGACTCAGCAAGAGGCTGGAGCACAAGAACTTGCATGAGGTTATGAAAAAGACAGAGACAGACTCCTTTTGGAGGTGCACAGCAATAGGATAAGCAGTGACAGACACAAGGTGCAGCGAAGGAAAGTGACTCGATATAAAGGGAACAAAATTATAACAAGGGTCATCAAACACTGGCACAGGCTGTCCAGAGAATGGGTAACATTTCCTTCTGCAGAGATACCCAAAACTGGACTGGATGCAGTCCTGAGCAACCCCATGTGACTCAAAACTGGCCTTGCTTTGAGTAGTGGGTTGGACCAGATGACCTCCAGAGGTGATTCCCAACCTAAATTGTCCTATGACAGAAAGTGAAAGGCTTGGTAGAGAAATTAGTCTCCCGTGCCTCACGTTCCACGCTGCCTGAGTGCTAATCAAAAGCCACAGGAATGGATGTGAGACACTGAGCCTGAGCTCACAGCAGGGTTACACCGTGGGACAGGAGGCTCACCTGGCTGTTGTCGTCCACCAACAGAACCTAAGGAGACAAGGGGAAAAATAAAATAATTTTACCACCACATCATTTTGTCAGCTCAAGATCAGCTTTGTAATGCCTTCATATCCCAACTAAGAAGTGCCTATTTCCTGGAAGCCAGCCCTGCAGGGTTTAGGGATGTGAAATACGGGTGTCCACCACCCAGAGACCCCAGGTGAGTAGCACCCACATGAGGCAGGCCCGGAGGGGCACAGGGGAACTTCCCACCACTAGCCAGACTGTGCCCAAATGATCCTTCTTTTCCAAGGCTTTTGCCTCCTCCTTAAGCTGTGCACCACAAAGGTCCTGGCAGAGGCTCAGCCCATTTATCTGAGGTAGCACTCAGTCATTCTCAGGCTTGGCTGAGAGAGTGCCAAGGGAGAAGATTAATTTCGTTTTTGGAGTGAAGCACTTCTGTCTCCCCCACTGCAGAGTGCTACCCTCTGGATTTAGGTTTCAGATGTGACACGAAGATTTGGTGAAGGTTTCTGCAGCCAGAGACACACCAGGGACACTGACCAGGGGAGCAGTGCTCCAGGAGCTGGGTCAGATATGTTGGCAATGTGAGACTAGGACTCCCCATCCACAATTAGCCTGGTCTCCTCAGCTCTCTGGGCTCTAACTAGCTGCCAGCCAAGAAGCTGCAGGACCTGCCCACGGGGTCATCCTAATCCCATGAGAAAGAGAGGGCTGATTTTTGGACAGAGTGCTACCCTCTGGATTTAGGTTTCAGATGTGACACGAAGATTTGGTGAAGGTTTCTGCAGCCAGAGACACACCAGGGACACTGACCAGGGGAGCAGTGCTCCAGGAGCTGGGTCAGATATGTTGGCAATGTGAGACTAGGACTCCCCATCCACAATTAGCCTGGTCTCCTCAGCTCTCTGGGCTCTAACTAGCTGCCAGCCAAGAAGCTGCAGGACCTGCCCACGGGGTCATCCTAATCCCATGAGAAAGAGAGGGCTGATTTTTGGAAGCAGACTCACCTCTAACATTCTTGCAGGCAAGTTGACACTCCTCTTCTCGTAAGTAGTTATTCTTGTTGGCCTTGCAGCCGCCAAAAATGAACTCCTCACACTGCTGAAGGGTTGGGTTGTAAAACCAACGTGGAAAAGATCCCCGACACCAACCCACCTTCTTAGGAGTCAAACAATGCTCTATCAAGAAAGTTAACATAAAAGGCTGTGGTTAGCTTGCTTTGCCTTCACGTATACAAAGGAGAAAATCTTCCAAAGGAAAGTTCAACACTGTGGACACTTCTCTGAAAGATTTATAAAATCTTAAGTGGTGTGGAGAAGGTGAGCAGGGAATCATGGTATATATTTTCTTAAATGAAAGGCAGGGTCACAAAGTCAAATTAGAAAGTGTCACACCCCAAACAAAGGGAGCTGCTTCTCCACACAGCACATGGGTAAGCTGTGAAATTACTTGCTTTAGGAAGTTGCTACTGTCCAAAGATTAGATGAGGTCAAAAAGGGATTCATCCATGGCTGTTAAACACAAAGACACCATCTTCTGCTTAAAAAAATCTCCCAGCTGCAAATTCCTTGGAGACTAGCCAAGCATAGTAGGGATTTCCTGATAGCATGTCATGTTCTTGTACTGTGTCCGAATTATCGGCCTCTGGACACTGTTGCATGCAGTGTAGTGGATTTTGGACAGACCATTAGAGTCACCTGATACAGCTGTTCTTACGTTTTTATGGTACCTGCAGTAGGAGGAGAAATTCCCTGCTTAGTTACTAGTCAACCATTTGTCCAAGAACTCCTTGTTCCTAATGCACTTGTAACGCTGAACATTTTGATCATTAAACAAGGCCATTAAAGTGAAACGTATAAATAAAGCCAAGGAGACTTTGAATGATGGTTTGATTGTGCTCTTTTCCCATCCACCCCTCTGAGAAGAGAACTGGTAATGCCAGAGCAGCACCCAGGCTTGGGGACTCCAGTGAGACACCCGTGGGCTGTGGCTCACCTTCAGTCTGCTCGGAATTCAGCACCACGATGGTGATGTTGGTGAAGTCTTGCTGTTGTGCAGTGTCCGTGACAGTAAGCTGGAAAACGTAAGTCCCCGCCTGTAGGTTGGAGATTTCCACCTGATCTTCTTCGTGCTTCTGAAAATGCAAAAGAAAGGCTTATGCAAAAGAAGGTACCTCTGGTGAGAGACTGAGTGAAGCCATTGAAGAGCCCATGTTCCTGCATTGGGTAGGAAGGAGCTTGGCTGGAAACCCCTAAGCATGAAAGATGTCTCCGTGCTATACAATCCCCCCAAATCCATGGGCTAGCACCCAGCTGGAGTAGCAGAGAGAAAGAATATTACAAGAGTAATTAGATATTTCATATTTTGGGGCATTGTGAAAGCATGAAGGAAAATAAAAATCTTTGGATAAGATGGAAATACCTGCATTTTTATTTTACTTTTTAAAATATAAACCCCATTATGAATCATTTATTTAGTACACAGGGAATAAGCTATTTAAGTATCTAAGTAATACATACTCTTGCATTTTGAATATGACAAGTATATTTAGTTTTAGAAATGGAAATGAGTACCTATTTCTTTGTCTACTGAGAGGTTTCTAAAAGAGAGTGAATTATTTTGTCAGAATAGAAAGCTGTGATTGTACTGGCACAAATTTTTCCCTATATTTGCTAACAATATTGAGCCTCTGCTTCCACGCTATCTGCCTTTTTGGTTAGGTTTCAACAGAACACAGAATTGCCATATACCATCTTAAAGTAGTTAACATAGCATAATAATAATAGAGGAGTTTTTTCCCCCCTGAAAGTTGCTTTGGTTGAGCTAAGGGGAAGGGAAAAGGAAAGGAGCACTTCCAGATTTCCACAGCCTCCTCAGCACCCTGATAGTCACTGCTGGTCTTTGAAATCAGCTGGAGGCCTGACGCCCTCGTTTGCTAATTCTTCCAAAAGGTGCCATGAGAGCTCTGTATGAACTCCAAGGCTTTCCCAGAGCATTTTACAGAAGTTTATCAATAATCACTGCTCTTCTAAAGCCACAATTCACAATCAACAAACTATAAGATAGGCAGCGTTCATGACCCAGAGATCTTGGAGCCAGTCAGGAGACATGACTTCTGTTCCAGCTCAGATAAAATAGAAGGAATTTATGCTCTAAAGAGAGGCAAAGTCCAGGAAAAGCCTCAGGAAAACAAAGCAGAGCCTGAGACTGGATTATTCAGGGCCAGAGGAGGAGAAGCATCAAAGTGGAGCAGAGTAAAAAAGAGGCTTGTGGGTGGACTGGCTTGGGGAGGGTGACCTCTAAGTCAGAGGCTGTGAGAGCCCTACCTAGTGCAGATCACAGGTGACAACGAGCAAGCTGCTTCCTTCCTGCAGCTCCCTACCTTCATCTCCACGGAGGGGTCACCGAGGATCTGTTTCCATTCATAGCTGACGATCCCTTGGTCGTCCGTGCTCTCTGTTCCTCTCAGCATCACTGGTTCCCCGGGCTGTACCCTCATGTCCATGCCCGTGCGGGCTATTGGAGGACGGTCATCTGCAGAAGTGCAGAGCATGGCTTAGGTAGGAGGCTGAAGGGTCTGGTCCTTGCCTCCATTACAGTAAGACAAGGGAGGGGGATTCTTCCAGGCTAAATCAATACGGATTTCCTTTCAGCCACTGAAAGGAAAACACTTTTATACTCTTGTAGCCGGCGCAAGCAACATGGAATCGATACCATTATTACTGCCCTCACTAATTTACTAAGTCCACAACTCACTCTGGCAGTGCCTTTGAGGCAGTTGGCTCCCCGGCCACTTCTGCCCACAGGAACCACCGTTAGAGGGTGTCCCCGTGGCTACAGCCATTGTGCTTCTGACCATGGGACCACACGCTCGCGAAACAGCGCAGAGCGATCTCCACCCTCCACTTAGGGAGATGACCTGCTGTGGGTGTTGAAGAATGTGGAACTGACTCTCATTATGCCTACCACCACCTCTAGGCGCTACGTTAGCGTACGTAACCAGAGCTATGCCAGGCAGGATTTGGATGGAAAACACCGCTCCTCAACCTCATCTTCCACCCCACTCCCTGACACGCATGCCTTAAAAAAAAGCACACAAATGCCATTCATGAGATCATTATTTTTGTGCCACTTCCACGGATTAGCTTACCAGCAGCCTCCGCAACCCATTAAATGCTTTTTCAGGCTGTAGGTGTAAGAGACAAAAACTGCTCCCCGCCTGTGCCAGCAAGAACAGCCTAAACAATGACACCATTGAGCCTGACTCATAACTCCTTTCAGCCTTAACATCTCTGACCGCGGGCTTCCTGCATAGCTCAGCCCATAAAACCCCACCTGGTAGCACCTGTACCAAGTCCAAGACCCAGTGTTCAAGTTCAACCCGAGACTTCTATAAAGGCATTGATTGTCGTTTAGAAGCGAGATAGAAATCACTCCACCATTACACTGTTGTGTAGACTGTGTCTAAAGAAGAGGACTAATGCCCAAAACCCTTGGAAAACTACTCCATCAGCTAATTACTTTCACTGTCGTGGACTTGGTCCTCATTTCCTGTCTGAGTGTTTCTGGATTCAGGTCCCAGCTGCTGACTCTTGCTAGACCCTACTGAAGGGACCCTCAATATAAGGTATATATAAAAATAAATGTGACATTCAAAACAAGCCACTTCTTCGTTCTTTCATCACTAAATTCAGTAGGACAGAGGGCTTTGCAACACTTATTCCAGATCAGAGTTACCACAAATCCACCCAGAATCTTCTATTTTCTAGTATCTTCTACCAAATGAAGACCTATTCATTCTACCCACGCCTTAACAAATGCTGCTGCCACCAGCAAGTCACAAGTGAAATAAACCTTCCTTTGTTTCCACATCCGAGCATTGTGCTCAGCCTGATCAGCTGCAGAATCAGGGAGGGTATGTGTGTGGGTACCAGCCCCCTGAGGTTCCCCTGCAGCCTGCTCCCCAGCAGCTCACCTTCCTCATCGCCGAATGATGGGGCTGCAGTTTTACTCTATGGGAGGTCAGCTGCCTCTAGCTTGTGTAGCTGCAGGGCTTCTGCTTACGTTTATCCTAGAATGGTTAGAGTTGGAAGGGACTTTAAAGATCATCTAGTTCCAAGCCCCCTGCCATGGGCAGGGACACCTCCCACCAGACCAGGTTGCTCAAAGCCCCATCCAGCCTGTCCTTGAACCCCTCCAGGGATGGGGCAGCCACAGCTTCTCTGGGCAACCTGTTCCAGTGTCTCACCACCCTCACAGGAAAGAATTTCTTCCTAATATCTGATCTAAATCTCCCTTCTTTCAGTTTAAAACCGTTCCCCCTAATCCTATCACCCCACTCCCTGATAAAAAGTCCCTCCCCATCTCTCCTGTAGCCCCTTTAGGTACTGAAAGGGGCTATAAGGTCTCCCTGGAGCCTTCTCTTCTCCAGGCTGAACAATCCCAACTCTCTCAGCCTGTCTTCATAGGAGAGGTGCTCCAGCCCTCGATCATCTTCATGGCCCTCCTCCGGACCTGCTCTACAGGTTCACTTCTCGCACCAGTCTGTGTGCTCTCTGCAATCTGTCACTAGTTTTATCTTTTATTCCTCCTTTTCACGTAAGTTTTGGGTGGGAACAATACCAGGTCAAGTTCATATTATTGAACTTGATCCAGCCAGCAAAATAAGCAGAAGAGGCCCAGCTGGACTGAAAGAGACCAGGAAGAAGACACCTGCAGCACAAGCGGAGATGGCCACCCTGGTGTCCTCTCACCTTTGTATAAGGCACACCTCCCTACCACTCCTTCCTCAGGGCTGCGTGCCAGAGCGATGGCTCCTGTCTCAGGCAGGCACAAAGACTTCCCAAAGACACCAAGCAGGGCCCAGTGAGCCTGGCACCTCTTGGTTTTGAGCAGGGCTGGTGGAACAAATAGATGGAGTTTCACCTTATTTTCAAGTGGTCTTGCCACGAGAACGTTCGTAGGAGAAAGCAATGACTGGAGCTGGCAACACCTTCCAAAGCAGGCAGCCAAGCACCTTGTACTCAGGGCTACAAGCTCTGGAAAGGGGACATCTTCCTACCATTCCTCCAGAAAAATGCCACAATCATAGCAGGGAGAAGTGTAGCCTGCTCCCTGCCATCTCCTGCCAGGGTGAGCCTAGTCACACAAGAAGAAGACCAGTTCTTCAGCAACACGGAGGCTGATCCTTAGCTCACAACAACTCCAAATCATACTTTTCCTTGACATTTTTAAGCATGTACACTTAAAAACAAATAAATAAATAATTACAAGCCAAACATTTATCCACGGGTCAATTTAGTTACTTCGGGTTGTGGATTGCACGCTGAAGTAAAAGCTCAGCTCCAGTCAATGAGACAGCTGCTGCTCCAGATCCCGTTAACCCTCTGATTAACCAAATTCCCCGACCCTCCTCACCGCTAGAAAAATAGTCAAGAGTATTTGCCCGTGTGCAGTGGCTGCCAGCCAAGGAGAAACTCCCGACAGAAAGGAAGGACTTTACTTTCCCTTTTCCTTTTCTCCTTTTTTCTTTCCCTTTTCTCCTTAGGACGCCTAAAAGCTCAGTGCCTTTTGGAGTATTTCCACCACACTGACTATATGAAGCCTTCAGTGGCAAGGTGGCTACTTTCCACTCGAGCTTCATAACCGAGTGCTGACTGAGCCAGAGAGAGCATCAACAAACTGCTCTTAGAAGGGAGAGTCTCCATTCAGTTCTTTTTGCTCTGAAAGCCTGTTTGAAAAATGAAAGTTACCCTTGCTACAGTGCTCTTTTGACTATGGAAAGTTTCTGCTGTAAAGCTCTGTAATTAACAGGGAGATTAAAGCTTTATGATGCCGTTGTGCGTCCTGCTCTTTGCTGCGGACCACATGCTCCCGGAGTCACGTCATTAAGTGACAACTTCCGCTCCCATTTATAAAATACCTCAGAAAGTGAAATACCTTTCCTTTATGATCTCAGAGAAAAACTTGGTAGAGAAAATCCAAAATGCTTAAAAACGAATTCATATGGCTCACGGTGTATTCCTGCCTCGGTCCATTTTTTTTTTTTGCTTTTTAAAAAATTTCATTTAGTTTTAAGGCTTATGCAGTCAGTGGTTTATCTGGCTTCACCTCTAGCAATGAGTAAACTTGAATCAAAGTTGGCGAGGGGACAGGAATCTAAAAGGTACTGAATTCCTCCATGGGCTGCAAAAGTTAGCGTCTAGGTGAGGGGAGAGACCCCAGCAGGGACCTCACTGTCCGAGCACGAAGGCACCAGTGAAATCCCACAGCAGAAAGCACTTGTGAAGCTCCCAGTTTGGCGATTTCTCTTCTGGAGCTCAGATATCAGCTCTTGCCCTCGAGACACAAATTCACAGAAAACCAGATTTCCTCCATTCCAGCGCTCCTGCGGATACACCCTGAGTACCTGAGACTATAAAGTAACCCTTGGAAACACCTCACAGTGATTTGAGGTTGCCACCAGGAAGAGCTGGAAAGCTTTCTCCTGGTCACCGAGGGGCTCTTAGAGCCCGCTGCCGTCTGCTGATGTGGGAGCAGCCTGCAAAGGAGAGGAGTGTGGCTGGTGCAGGGGACACCAAGGCACTGCGAAGGGAAGGACCTCACCAGGGACAGAAGCCACTGCTCAAAGCCACTGGGCAGGCCAGGAGCAGAAATGAGGCCACCCAAATTCCAGCGCTTGGGAGACATGCAACCTCGGAGATTTCAAGCATGCGGAGGCAGCAGCACGGCTCTCCCCACAAACACCAAAGCTCGGCTCTAGCCCTGCTGCCAGGGAAAGCCATTTGAAAACAAACAGCTTTCAGGGAGGGTTCATTCAAATCTCCCCCATCGGCGCTAGAAAACTCTCCACAGCAACAGGAAAAGGTGAAGAAGGAAAATGCTTCCGCTGGGTGGTTGATTTGCCTGAGGAGAGGGAGAAGGGAACAAGGCAACGCGACGCAGTGCCTGGAGAAATACAAGCTCTTTCCGTAGGGATTCATCCTGGTTGGGCAGCAAATGGAGTCAAAATAAAGCCACACAGTTTTCCAACAACTCACGCAGAGCCAAGCAGCTCTCAGCATTAACTTCTAGAGGTTTCTATAGTGGTCTGTAAGAAGAGGTGCACACAGCAGGCCAACTTAAGCTCTCTAGAACAATGCAGCATCACTGCACGGATTGTATTTTCAGAATCATGCCATCAGCTGCCGCCCCCAGGCTCCTTCCATCCTTCCCCAGGGGGTGGGGAACCAGTCCAATTCGCTTTAGCAGCCAACAGTCCCCTGTGGGCCTTTGTGCCATTTTGGTAAAGATCAGTTTGTTACTCCAGTCTCCTCCAACAGCTCCAGAGCCATGACGTGAGGTCACCACAGAAGATGCTCATCGCCTGCTCTGGCCTCCAAGGGCCCTGCCAATACACTTTGCCCTCTGAATCTGTGATGTGGGCACCAAACATGCAGTTCCCCCTCTCCTGGCCTGAGCTGGGCTCTGGAAGAGAAGCAGCTGGCTCAGGGCTGGGCAGCATCAGCCCAGGTCACACCAGTGACCAGACCCAC